AGCCCCGGGCGGGGGCGGCCCTGTCTCCCTTCTTCTTCCTCGCTCCCTGCCTTTCGGATGGCATTCGGGCGGGCTCACTGGGCCGTGCAGAGGTGTGCCCAAGTGTTGGGGGGCCCCTGGGGCGATGTGGAGGCGATCGCGTTCTGCTTGCGGCGGGGGGGCTGGGGGGGGGGGGGGGGGCGGCGCCCCAGAAAAAACACCAGCCGGGAGGAATGGGGAAAGGCCCTCCCCCCCTCCCGGCGCGAGGCGAGGTCCAGGCACGCCTCCAGGCCAGCCCGCTTGGGGCCGGACAAAAGGCCGGAGAATCACGCACACCCGGGCTGGTCACGCCACACCCAGGGTATTTCCGGGCAAATATCCAGCCCATCACGCTGGGGGCATTCCCCGAAGACCTAAGTCAGGTCAACAGGGGGGTCGGCTGGCATTCTTCACCCCGGTTACAGAGGTGTCCCTCGCCCGCCCCCCCCCCGGGGGGGGGGGGGGACGGGGGAGGAAAGCAACAGCAGCCCTTAGGGGTGTCTGGGGCGTGTGTCCCTCCTGCCCCGCGCCCCCCGCGTCCCCTTGAGGCGGCGAGAGCGTCGGGGGTGGCTGCCCTGGGTCCGAGGAAAGCCAGCACGCGCGCGCGCATGTTTGGCCGCACGAGCGGTGTGGATGCCGGACGCGCGCCCGATGGCCTGCGCATATTCCCCCTCCCCCCCCCCCCCCCCCCCACCCCCGGGCCGGCAACCTCCGGAGGCCCGCGGGTCGTGGTATGCCCCGGCGGAATGTGCACACCGTCCGGGGCCGGCGCGCGGCCGCGCGGTCATTGTCCCCCTTTGTCCGGGCCTTGAGCGCGCTCCGGCGGTGCCCCGGCACGGCGTGCCCTTTGTCCCGGCTTCGCGCGGTGCCCGCCGTCTTGTTGCTTTGGCCGGGCCCCCGCAGGCTGAGGCTCCCGCGCCCGGGCATTTTCCCCGCGCGAGACTCTCGCTGTCTCCCGTCCGCCCGCCGCCGCCGCCGCTGGCCCGTTGATTGAAGGGCCGCCCACCAGGGTCAGACCCTTGGCGACGGCGGCCGGCCGGGGGAAAGGACAGCTGGCGTGCGCATGCCCGCCCACCCCGCCCGCGGAGGGGCTTCCCCTGTTCCGCACAGGGGCAGGTCGCCCTTCGCGCCGGGGGCCGGTGCTTGGGCCGGTCCCTAGCACGGACATCCGCCTCCCCTCGCCCGGCGTGGTGTTGGCCGTGTCACGGGCCGTGGCGACAGCGGGGCCTGTTTGTGCGCGCGCCCGGGCGCGTTTCCGGGCGCGCGGCGTCCTGGGGCGGG